CGGTTGTCTTGTTCCCTCTCAATAGTGAACTTGATACTGTCATGCTGTGTGTTGATGTGATCGAAGAGTTCCTGTTCATGTTCCTGTCTGTTCACAACGCCGGTGTCGTCTACATACCTCCCCCAGAACTTGGGGCGGTGTGGAGCAGTGTGTAGAGCTTTCCTCTCGAACTCCTCCATAAACAGGTTCGCTAACACAGGGGACAATGGAGAACCCATCGCCATGCCAAAGGTCTGTTCGTAGATCACATCATTGTACTGAAAGTACGTAGTGCTAACCACCAGGAGGAGGAGCTCACCAAATTCCTTGGGGGTTAACAAGGTACGATCTTTCCAGGTGGAATCCTTCTCTGCTCTACTAACTGCCATCCCGACGACCTCCTTCCCCGGAACACTAGTGAAGAGGGCTGTGACATCAAAAGATGTGAGTACCTCTCCATCTTCGACGGGGGGTGGGACCCGACAGACCGATGCAAGTCTCGGGCCTAGTCTCGCGCTCTCGCGAGATTAGGCCACTCCGTGAACAAGATGGACTGATAGCCATCGAAAATTTGGAGGTTAGTATCCTTATCCTTCCAAAGTTGTCACTGATAAAAGAATTCACTAGGAACTGCATCTATACGTGACAAATGAATCTCTTCAACGATATCTTCAACCAGTATTTACAAATAAACAGGCAAAAGCAAACACAAAGAGCAGTATCTGTTGAGCAGATCAAACTTTCCTCACAAATAAATTATGGTTATAAAAATAGTATATACTTACCAGAGTATCATTCAGGACACACTGTAGGAAGCCAGTTCCATCTCTCAGCACGATAAACATCAGGTTTTTACCTGCAAACAATTAGACAGCTCTTTACCTGGTTGTTAGACAAGCATTATCACTTCAATACCCACCACCAACAACAACAAAGATTGTTTTATTTCATCCGTGAAACTCTCATGACAAGATGATGTTTTGTATCTGAATATGGACAAAAATACATGACAGTGTACTTGTATCTTTGAAAAAATGCCACAACTACATGTAGTTACTTTGTCAATGAAGCCTACGAGACACATAAGAAAACAGTCATTCAAGCAACTGGACAGATTTTGAAAACTTACTGTCAGACGTTTAAAAAAGTAGCAATGTATGCCATTACTACTGTTTATCAGTGACAGGCAACTATATTGTAGTTACTGTAGTTCACTTAAGGACTTAAAGACTCAGAGGAAGCATATGGTATAAGTTTGCTGTCCAGGAAAAGTGGTGGTTGTATAATTATTTACCTTGTCTGCGGATACGGTGGCACCAGGCTTTCACCTTGACACGTGAGTTGCGGTTGGTTGTCGCCTCCAAAATCTTGATCTATAACAGATCAAATATCGAATAAAAAAATTCTTAATACCTGGCTTCCCACAACCAATGTGCAAAAAAACTTAAGATCAACATCTAACCACTAAAAGTTAGAAGATACCTTGAAACATGCAGAAATAGCGGTAGATGCAATATACTATGTATCCTATGAAGTGGTTGGACATGTACACAAGACTGACCGTTTTGGCAGCAGGCAGGCTGGTGTCCTCTGAGATGGTCACCTGTTTGGCCGCCTCCAGGTTTTCTTCTCGACGTTTGGCATCCTCTGCCTGGATATAGTGTGGGTTTTATATGAATACTTATACTTACTAATATATATATACTTCAATGTTACAATGTACATGTAAGCATTTTCATTTGCCAAAATTGATAATATACAATGTATTACATCATATACTAACTTCTGACTGTTCATCATGTTAAAGATTGTTTTTTAATCAGTTAGTGACACTGGATTTCAGTTTTTTTTCAATTGAACATCGATGGACAGAAATTTCCTTAGGGAAGGCAAAATTGAAGTTTTCATGCTTTTTTCATTTCTTAACAAAAACCTATTCTTTTGACTTTTCTAGCAATGGAAGGACTATGATTAGTGTTGTCTACAATTTCATTTTTTTCCAGTCTTACCTCCTTCTTCTCCTTGTCAGCAGCCTTGTGCTGTTCCCTCTGCCAGTTCTTCTTCTGCTTCTTCAGCTGGGCCTGAGACACAGGCTCCCATCTCTGGGCAGACAAATCATCATCATCATGACATAAACTATAACCAGGGTTCTGTCAAGCTGCATTTTTTATATCTCTGACAAAAACGTGCAACAGTCATCCTATATCACTATTATTATGGCTGCTTATCACATAGGTTTGTTGTTGCTGTTGGTATACATACCTGTCCCTCCTTCTTTCCATCAACCAAGATGGCAGGGAATGGCTCTTTTCCTGCATGTCTGATGGCCTAATGAAAAAACATTAACGTTATAGGTTTGAAATGTCAATTTGGAGAAACAAAAGTGATTATGAGTGACACCAAAAAGACAAATAGGTAAACCGTAAATACAGATTTATCATTATGTTACAAACATACCTGTAAGACTGTTTTGAAGGGTTTCCCCTGGGTGCCATCACCTGAATCATCACTACCTTCCTTCTCAGAGGTGTACAGCTCACCTGTGGTGGTGCAAGGTACATAATGAATACTGATATTCATACTAGTATATAAAACCATAGAAAGCCTTAGCCTGTTTTATAATGTCGCTGGCTACTGCATTGTAGCCAGTGACATTTGGGAGCCGGCGGAAACTACTTTGCCAGACACTGCATGGATACCAAAGAACAATCCAATGGAGTATTTCCCCAAAACCGTTAAGGGTTGCGAGCCTTTCTTCATTTTGCCAACTCTCCTACATTTTCTGTAAAGCATTGACAAGATCCCCCCATGCAGACCCTCTTTGAAATGTAGATTTCACAACCAACCAGATTGTCTCCTTACATACACGCCCATGGGACACCTCATCTTTTGAACACGCCCAAATTTATTCCCAGAAGAAAAGAGAGTGAGGGGTTATGTAATATATCGTTATATAATATTTGTAGACTGGGAAATCCTAACACATGTGTTAACTCAAGCATGAACAACCTTTTCTTTCCTTTCCCTCCTGTCTTCCCCCCTTCCATTTTTCCTGAAACTCACTTATCTTGCACGGTAGAAAATTATACCTCCATGGTATGTTTCCATCTAGAGAAGAGCATAATTTGGCATGAAAGTTTCACATCAAAAATGTGATCAGAATTCAAGACAAACTCACCGATTGTCATGTTCTGTGCCTGCTCCGCCATGTCTTCCATCGCTGTGCAACACTAGGTGGGTTGGTGTGTCTTTAAATACCACAAATATTGCGTGAAATTGCCGCAGATTCCTACAGTTCTTGCATCACCCTTACCATGTGGCAAAAGTGCAAAGACCGGTGTCTGGTAGTAACAATGAAGAAATATTCAGAAACACTGACAACTTCAAGTCGTCCGTTTTCACCGAATCGATCTTGCTTTTGAGGCAAAAAATAAAAAACAGTTAATTCATTCATCAACACAAGACTGATTTGTTCTCTATTTCTGCTGACTACGCAAAATGTAGGACTAACAAGGTGTTACACGTATTTTTGTAACGAATAAAAAGCTATATTTTGTCTAGAATGCAGGCAGCAAAATGTAAAAGCAAATTAGTAAACAGTTATTATACGAATCGAAGAGCAAGCTGTTAAGTATGTAGCATAGATTCCTCATACAGTACACATTTTTAATTATATTCTTTGTCAAAATATCACTGACAAGGCTTTGTTTAGCTGTACTGATCAGATATTATCGTTTTTACTGTCGCCCTCGTTTCCCGTGTGTGGGGAAAGTCCATGTAATTACAATTTGGGTGATAGTAACTGAAGCAAGAACATAGACTGTATGTGTATTCATAGTTGTATGCACCTTATTTAAAGGTGTATACGACTCTGTTTTTAATAAAATCTGCAAGTAAATTTACCATTGCTAGGGAAACTTTTCTCTCAAGAACGTGAATTTTCCGGCTACCCAGAGCGCAAATGGGACATCCCTGATTCAAGATGGCTGCCTTCAGAATGAGCTTGACTTTTTCGTCGGCGACCTCGAAGTTATCTTGCCTTCGCTTAGCTCTGAGGCGAAGTTCCAGCCTGTCTCTAAGCCAAGACTTAGCTGGACAAATAGGGAAGCATTGTGCGCGAAATCGGTGTTTTTCCGCAGCTGAAACGCCGTTTTTCCGACCGCGGACCGGTCTTACATCATGCAACGTGCAGCCTAGAACATTCCGAGGCCTCGACGGTCGCGCGCTCGGCTCTACACAACTGTTACACAGAAACGTTTTACACAGACCAGAACAGTTTTATCTACAGAATAGACCGTTCTCCGGACTAGGAGGCGGCCAGGACGATGGGAACGGCAGCAGTAGCAGTTCGGGAAGCGACGGGAGAGAGGATGGGGAAGGAGACGGGCTGAGCGGTGGGGAGGGGGGCGGTCCGGGGGACCAGCCGACCATGGCGTACACGCCCCCGCCCATGTCGGCTCTCACACCGATGACAGTGCCGGAGGTTTTCCCTAACGTCCCCCTGGTTCCCGTCAGTCGAAATCCCGTCTTTCCGCGGTTTATCAAAATAGTAGAGGTATGTTACATAGTAAAAAGTAAAAAGAAATGTTCAACGTGTTTACGTACGTGTAGATAATGTAAGCAACTTTCAATATAAAAAAAAGTTGAAACACTATTGACATGTAAATATGCCCAACACCATAACTTTGAAATTTACAGATGATAAAACTGATGTAACTGCTTTGCAGATGCATTTTTTAGTAATGTAATGTAATGTAGTGTTGATGCAAGTATGTGTTAATTGTCTATGATGTGCATTGTCCCCTGTTGCAACTGCAGATCAGCAACAAGCCACTGATGGATTTGCTGAGGAAAAAGGTTCGACTTGCCCAGCCATACATTGGTGTCTTCATGAAGAAAGATGACAGGTAAGCAACTTGTTATATCATTCATGACATGAACGCCCAGTGTGTGATGGTTATATACTTACCTGGCTCACACCCAATGCAACATGAGAAACATGAGGCTGATGGAGAAATGAAATTCGG